AAAAAAAAAAAAAAAAAAAGAAAGAAAACTAAGATATGTGAATAAGGATGCTCACTGTAGTGTTTGCAGGAACAAATAATTCAGCAGTAGGGGCTTGTGGAGTAAACGCCAGAATATCCATACAACGTAGCATTGTGAAAACAGTAAAAGAATGAGGAAGATCTGTATGTACTGTTGATGCAAACAGGGGGCAGGGAAATACTGGGTATAAGAGGGTGAGGTCCCTGGTGAGGGCTTCACCCTCAAGCCTGCATCTGCAGCCCTAAATGAGAATATGCATTCCTGTTTTCCTGCCTGAACGTTGCGTTTTCCAAAACCATCCTGGACCACCATGCTTCCCAACCCTGTACCCATAAAAAGCCCAAGCTCCACTAGCAGGGGAGCAGAGCAATGTGGCTAAGAAGGAGGGAAGAGACAAGCAGCTGAACATTGAGAGGAGAGGAAGCAACTGAGCCTCGGAGACTATGGATAGACATGGCTTAACTTTAGATGACATGACTTCAGAGAGGAGCCCGGTTATCTCAGGCCAGGCTTCTGAAAAAGATCATCTTCTTCCCGCACCATCCCCTTTCCAGCTCCCCTTCCACTGAGAACCACTTCCACTGCTTAAGAAAATCTCTGCATTCACCAACCTTCAAGTCTGTGTAACCTGATTCTTCCCAGATGCTGGACAAGAACCTGGATACCAAGAGAGCAGGGTGTAAAAGGCTGTCACCCTGACTCTCCACTGAGCTGGTTAACACTTAACTCTGTACCAAGAGGGCAGGGTAAAAAGGCTGTCACCGTGGTTCTCTACTGAGCTGTTTAATGCTTAGCCATCTGTAGAAGGCAACTGCTAAAAGAGCAGTAATTTTGTTTTTTTTTGAGACAGAGGCTCACTCTGTTGCACAGGCTGGAGTGCAATGGCGAGATCTCGGCTCACTGCAACCTCCACCTCCCAGGTTCAAGCAATTCTTCTGCCTCAGCCTCCCAAGTAGCTGGGATTACAGGCAGCCGCCACCACGCCCAGCTAATTTTTTGTATTTTTAGTAAAGACAGGGTTTCACCATGTTGGCCAGGATGGTCTTAAACTCCTGACCTCAGGTGATCCACCCACCTTGGCCTCCCAAAGTGCTGAGATTACAGGTGTGAGTCACCACACCCAGCTGGGTTTTTTTTTTTTTTTTTTTTTTTTTTTTTCCTTAGTGGAGATGGGGTTTTGCCATATTGGCCAGGCTGGTCTTGAACTTCTGACCTCAGGTGATCCACAGCCTCCCAAAATGCTGGGATTATAGGTGTGAGCCATTGTGCCTGGCCTAAAAGAACATTAACTGTAACCCACTCCTGGATACTGCCGCGGGGCCAGAGCCCAAAAGTGCTTGTCCTGGCCCCAGCACCCACTTGCCTGTGTGCTCCCTCCCATGAGGGGTTGAGCCCAGGGGATCTGAGCAAGTAAAGTTCGTCTCTGTTGGTGCCAAAGTGGCCGACTGGAGCCAGAGCTGGTGCACTCCAGTTCCTACCCACAAAAGGGTCAAGGGAACTCTCCCGTTTCACTCTTTGGGGGAAAGTACATTATTAAGCAAGAGAAGCAAGGGGTAGAGTGAGGTATATAGTATGATGGATAGTGTATATGTTACTTAGGTTTCTGTGCTACAGTATGATAAACTTTTCTCAGGGAGGCACAGAGGCCAACAGGATTGCCTTTGAGGTTCTGGGTGGGGATGATAGGTGGGAAATGGAGAGAAGACTTTCATTTTTTATTTTATCTTTTTCTATGTTTTTTAAAAAATTATTTAAATCATTTGCTTGGTGAGGTACAGTGGCTCATGCTTGTAATCCCAGTGCTTGGAGAGGCCAAAGGCAGGAGGATCACTTGAACCCAGGAGTTTGAGGCCAGCCTGAGAACATAGGGAGACCCTCTCTCCACAATAAATAAAATAATAAGCTGGGTGTGGTGGTGCAATCTTGGCTCACTGTAACCTCTGCCTTCTAGGCTCAAGCGATTCTTCTGCCTCAGCTTCCCAAGTATCTGGGATTACAGGCATGTACCACTATGCCTGGCTAATTTTTGTATTTTTAGTAGAGATGGGATTTTACCATGTTTGCCAGGCTGGTCTTGAACTCCTGGCCTCAAGTGATCTGCCTCCCAAAGTGCTAGGATCACAGGCGTGAGCCACCACACCTGGCCCACACTTGTTATTTTCAATCACAAGTTGCAAATACCTATCTAGGTCCAAGGCCTGCTATGATCTGAGCAGCATCAGAGGGTGTCACCAGTGATGGTGGGGGCTGGCACGGGATAGGCAGGAGAGGCCATCGTGAAAAGCTTCGAGGGACAGCTGGAAGGGAGTGGAAGCCACCTAGCAGTCACTGCTGTGCAGAGTGGTGGGTGAGACAGCTGCCCTGGCTTGGGTCTAGGCTTTGTGGGGTTTTGTTTTTGCTTTCTATTGCCACAATGTTGCTACCCAAAGCCTGGCAGCGCACAGGATTGTGGGTCAGCAGTTTAGTCTGGGTTGCCATTCTGGTCTCAGGTGGGCCCCGTTGTGGGTCTGGGGTCCGTTGGCCATGGGCTGGGCAGCTTGGCTGTGCCTTGTGTCTCTGGCTTCTCTCCAGCAGGCTAGCCTGGGTGTGCTCCCCTGGCAGAAGTGGAGGTATGTGAGAGAGAGAGAGAGAGAGAGAGAGAGAGAGAGAGAGAGAGAGAGGAAACGCAGGAGGCCTCGCAGCTGGGGTTTGAACGGTTTGGATGGGCACATCATCACTTCTGCTGCATTTTCTTGAGCAAAGCAGGTCATAAGTCAGGGCCAGACTTAAGGGGGGATTGGGTAATAGACTCATCTCTGAAGTGAGAAGAACTGTGAAGTCGGCCAGGCACAGTGGCTCATGCCTGTAATCCCAACACTTTGGGAGGCCAAGGCAGTGGATCGCGAGGTCAGGAGTTCAAGACCAGGCTGGCCAACATGGTAAAACCCCGTCCCTACTAAAAATGAAAAATTAGCTGGGCATGGTGGCATGCACCTGTAGTCCTAGCTACCTGTGAGGTTGAGGCAGGAGAATCACTAGAAGCCAGGGGGCAGAGGTTGCAGTGAGCGAAGATCACGCCATGACACTCCAGCCTGGGTGACAGAGTGAGACTCTGTCTCAAAAAAAAAAAAAAAAAGTTGTGTATGCAGAAAGGCACCCTGCATTCATCCACCATAGCCTGAAACTTATGCAATTCTGGGGCCCCTTGTGAAGAAAAAGGATGCCCAAATTAGAAATACAAAATGGGTGTAAGGTCTTGAATGGAGGCTGATCAAGTTGGGGGTGCAGATACCTAACCTCCATCTGCTTCCTGGCAATCCCTACAAGTCCCGCTGAGTGGAGCCGAGAAGAGGAGCCCCGCCCAGCCACAGTCATTCCAGTGGTAGAGCCGAGGGTGAAGCCCCTCAGTCATGCCCCTCTTGCCCTCTGGCCCTGTGTTCTCAGCCACTTTCTGCCTGGGTCCCTATGAAGTCTGGCTGAAGCTGTTCT